TTCTAACATTCAATCACAAAAGGCAACAAAACAAATTTACGTCAAGAACAGCACTGCCTTATCTACAAAGGAGTGAGTGATTCGTTGACTATGGGACGTTCTTCTTCCGGTGGTGGAAAGGGACGTGTGACTCCTCAGAAAGTCAAGAGCAATTCAAGTTCTACAGTTGTGAAACATCTATTTTCAACAAAAGATGAAAACAATGGAAAGGCAAGATCGTCGTACGAAGATGCCGAAGAAAGAGTGATCGACTATATCCAAGCTTCTGGAATGAAATGTTCCGAAGACATGGTGAAGTCAATTCGAGATGGAAAGTCAATCGACTTCAATGCGATTGCTCCAAGATTGAATGCTCCAACTCAAACTGAAGCTGTTGCAAGAGAAACAGAGATGACTCAAAACAAGATTCTCTATTCTGCAAAGCTCGACAAGAACATGCAAAGATCAGCCTACTTCGAAACGAACAAGAGAACCGTCAAATCAAACATCATGCTGAAGTTTGTGACAAAGGCGATGGATATCAAGCTTTGAGGTGAAGCCGATTTCACGACTACTCTTGAAGATCCAATCGAACTCTTGAAACGTATTGAACGATTCATGAAGAAGAGTGCTGATGCTGAGTACGATTTCTTGGATTTCTGCGAAGCGAATCAAAAGTTCTTTGCTATGGGGCGGTCCTTGGAGGACCAATATGCTCGAAGGGCAGGAAGAGAGACCAGCTCCATGATGTGAGCCTGATCCAGTTTGGAAGACTTAACACCGTCGATGAATAAAGACACAGGTTCATGGAAGAAGCGGGGGTTGGAGGCGGCAGAACGGCCTGTAGACTCCAGCAGGCGGCGGTAGGACTGTGCTTTGAAGTCAACTTCCACATTGCGCTGCTCCCACCAGTCCAGTTGGGAGAAAGGCCGGTGCTTGTCCAGGTGTCCTTTAACATGGCGCCGATGAACTTGGAGGGGAAGGTGGCGAAGCAAGGCCCGGATGGTGGAGGCCAGATCAAATTGAGCACCAGACGATGACAGGTGGGCTTTGGAGAAGGACTTATCAAGAGCTATGAGCCCGTCGCAGGCCATCTCAACCGACGGTTGGCTGGCAAAGAGTTTCAGGTGGGCGACCTGAGACATCCAGTCCAACACCAGGAGAGAGGCCATAAGACCAATCAATTCGCTGCGCGTGGAACTCTGGTCATCAAATTTCCCAGGGGTTTGGCAGGTGATCCAGATGATATCCCTGCGGTCCTCAGTTAGAAGTTGAGTGCATGCTGTGCCCACTTTAGCTTTGTAAGAGCCGTCGCTCACAGCACAAAGGGTACCGGCGCGAAGGGCCTGAACCAGGCGGTACTCACTACCTTCAATGGTAATGACCTCTGGAACCCAGCCGTGAGAACCTGATTCAGCCAGACTGCCAAAGTGATGCCAGAGGTCAAGGATGGAAGATGGGGGGGGCAGGTGGGTTCGCTGGTAGGTGAGGGCCCGTAGAGTGGAGGAGGACCCGGCTCTTGTGGATCGGAAAACGACTAGGGAAGACAGAGACCGAGGCGCGGACAGCGTCCACTGGTAGACGTGGGAGATCAGGGTTGAAGCGGCGAGGCAAGTAGAAGGTGCGCTGACGGCTGGTGGAGGCGAGAGGCACGGAAGGGATCCATAGGTGACCCTCACGGTGGAACAGGGTATTAGTAGAGGGGGAGTATTGCCACTTCCAGGACAAGTCAAAGGAATGCCACGGGCCTAACGGAGAACTGAGACGGCGTCGGTTGGAGTGGCCGGTCAGGTGAGTAGAGATCATCTGAAACAGTTGCCTGCTGCTTTTGGGTGTCATGGAACTTGTCCTATATTGTCCAGTACTTCCGCCTTAATGCCATAGCGATATTCCCTTAATTGACAGTTTAATTGGGTAAAAAGGACAAGGACACCGTGTTTTTTATCACCACCCCATGTGAAGCCTATGTGATAGATGAGAACCCCTCATCCTTTTTATGACAAGGAAATTGTCTCTTTGAGGAAAAGAACCTTCTCATTTTTGGAAAGTTCCCATTTGATTTTGTTGCAGAACCTTGGGATGCAAAGCCGTCTGACCGTGATTTCGATCATATGCATTTTCGATTTTCCACCCACCGGATTTGTCTTTTAAGGACATCCAACAGACCTTTTGAAGTGGACCCATTTGATTGAGAGCCATCCGATGGCTTCCTCTTTCTCATTGTCCATGTCATCTCATCAAATGGCCAACGCCTTAAAAGGACCAGATCCTTGTCAATTTATGACAACTACAATGACCTACCAAACAGAGTTTCCTTGCCTTCTGAAGAACAGTCAATGGTGATTAAAGGGCATACAGATTATGAATGTATCGGAAAGATCCTTTTGATTATATCACAAACACATTTGCTTTATTTGACAATTTAATGACAATCAATTGACAAGGCTAGACATCTGCAAACATACTTTCCAATGCTTCAGGAAGGACAGCCAGCGATCCTTCAGCAATAGGTATCTGTCTCTCGTTTGCAGTAGGAGGCACTGTGCCCTTTACATAAATGTCTGCTCCACTGCGCATCTTCCACAGTTCGTACTCTTCTAGGGCCGCCCCTGTGCGGGATTGCCTTCTTAACTTACCAATTGAACTCAACTTCTCCTTGTAGCTTTCAATTCCCTGTCGACTCCAACCAGATGACTTCAGCTTCAAGCCATCGTCACTTGATGTGAATTTGGCCTTGAACTCCTTGCATATAGCAGCATGTTCCTTACCTCGGAGTCTTGCTGATTTGGGATCCTCATGCTGTTTCCTCCAACGACTCTCATAGTTCTCAAGTAGCATGAGGGCAAATGCCTTGTCACTCATGGTGAAGATGTTGCCGATCGTCTCCTCCTGCTTCCGCACATCAAATTTGGTGTTTGTGCAATTGATTGATGGCATGATCCGTTTCACTAGGTAATGAAAGGATTGGTACTGCCCCGTCCTTGCTTGCAAAACTTTTGTGCCATCCTTTGTCAGGTAGTCTTGATATCCCTGACCACAACTCCTGTATCCAACAGCTGCATCAGTGTTCTTTTCCAGGAGATCGGCCACCAAGCTATCGGATGGGACTTTGTCAAGCTTCAGGTCATCTGGTAGTAAATGGAACTTGCAGAAAAGAGGGTCAGACACCAACAGGAGACTTCTTCCAAATATCAAAAAATTGAAATCCTTAGAAACTTTGATCTTGCAGCATTGTGATTTTAGAAAGCAGAATGTACGCATCATTGTACTAGGAGATTGACTTACCATTTGCAGTTGTTTTCCTTGCGGCCTCACATGTGATCAACGGTGATTATGCATTTTTTGCCATACTGCTTCTAGCCCTGATGAAAGAAAAAAGGCAACACCATGTTAGACAATGATCATATCACAATAGTTGGATCTGGGTTATGCACAACATTACAGACCAAGAATTGACTTGCCATCTGCAGCAGCCCTCCACTCCAACAACTGGTAATCTCCATGCTGGCGGTGTTGTATTGTGGGATGGTTGTGTGGGATGATTTCGTTGGAAATTTTCACGTTCCGAAACCAAACCTTTTTTACGTACACAACTACTGAAAGGCTACAAGCAGTAGAAACATGGTATTTGTTTACATAATTATCTGGTCTGGCAAAATTTCATGTAGAATGCTGTACTATACGTACGGTGAAAAATTATGGCGCACAAAATTACAAGGGCAGGTTTACGTGCGTGGTGTGTTTCGTTCATTTTGTACCAGGAGTGAGCCCTCATCACGACTCAAAATTGGCAGGCACTCTCCATGAACAAACAAATTTGTCAGCAGCAGCAATGGAATTCAACGTCATTGCAATCACCAGTTGTGAATCCTCCTCCAATTTTCACCCATCTCTTTCTGAAGCCTAACCATTTTACTATCCAATGCAATAGGAATCCAGTGCTATTTTTTGCAGTCTCGAAAACAGTTTTGGGTTTGTTGTTTTTGCTTTTTACACAGCGAGCGTGTCGTGTCAAACTCCAGTACTTTATTTGACGTTCGTTTTGACCGTGGCAGTCCTAAGCCCGTTTGTCAACATTTTATCCTTCACCCATCAGAAAAGTATTGGAGGGCTGCTACGCCATCCCAGTACCAGCTTTTACATGTCGCCCAAGACCAATTTGAAAACTCAAGGTGGCTGAGTTTGACTGGTGCGTGTCCATCACGGATGGTGTGTTTGATTGTTGCATATTTTTTATTGTTGCAAATCAACTGTTGTTGTTGCGATTGTCAATCACGTTGACGAAAGTCGTCGCTGATGTCTAGACATGGTTAGAACCCACCCAACAATACACCGTCGCCATTGCTTGACAACTCCAAACCTAACAAGCCATCTCTGGGAAGATTTGATGCAGCAGAAGAGAAATGGCGTCCATCAAGGTGAGTTGGATTGATGAGTGTTGCACAAGTGCGTATATTGAATATGCGATAAGATATATGTGTTCCAAAATTTGACTTTGTCGACTGCAAGACCAAAGCCATAAGTAAATCTTCCGTTGGGAAATGATGCAAGACAGCTTTGCTCTATGCAGCTGTTCTCCAACTTTGAAACCATGAAGTGAAACCGCGATTTACTCAATCCTCGTTTGCAACCAAACAACTGTCATGGTAATCCCAATGTTGTCTAAACCCAACACAAGCAGAACATGACAGAAGTTAACAATAAAGTCAATTGCCAATGGATCGGCCATGAATTAATTGTTTGAGCTGCATGAAAGAATTATTGGAGGAACAAAGGACGGAAGGCAAAAGCATATAATTTATTTGGACATAGAAAAAAGAAAATCAGAAACGAAACAACACGCAAACATGCAGAACCAGCCAATCTGCTCTGCGTAGCGCTAGTACTGATTATACGTAGAAAACTTTGAATTTATCAACAAACAAACGGCAAAA